AGACAATTGGAGCTTAGTGCTGCGAAAGCGCACGAAGCGCAAGAGAAGAGCCGCAGAAAGGTCGATTGCGAGCGAAAAAAAGCCGAGCGTGTAGCGGAAAAGGGGCAAGAGGCTGCGAGAAAGGCTGTGGAAAAAGCAACAAAAAGCGCTGATGCGACGAGGCAGTTGTCGCGAGGGCTCTGCAACAGCTCGCCCAACCGGCCTCTTGTGAAAAGACAATCAAGCAGTAGCTAGGAACAATAAACGACATGTCCCAAATTAGTCTGGATCCCCGATTTCATGAGTTCTGGTGGGTATGGAGTATATGCGCGGACTTATCAAAGTTTTACTGGCAGAGTCGCATTCAGGAGAATGCGTCCCAATAATGGCCCTGGCACCAGAGCCTGTGACCCAGAGCCATACAACTTTGGTCCCAACTACCAGGGCTCATGGCTCCGTAAAATCCTGGTTGACAATTGATTTTTCTGATATTCGCCTCAAACGGCACTCCCATTGGTCCTGGTGGTGGACCTTGTTGGATCCTGCAAGCAAGGCCTCAATGATGGAATATTTCCATCCACCCTCGATCGGAGCTGTAATGCGATCCGGCATCTTTGAAAAGGTTGCTGAATGTTTCTGAAGTTTCAAAGGTTCCCAAAGTGCTGCCGAAAGTTTGAGCAATTTTTTCTGCGAAACTCAGAAACATACGTAAGCAATTTGTAAACAGCTCGATTAGCTGTAATGATATCTTCCCACTGAGCCACTTTTCCACAAAACCGAAAAGAATCGGCAAACCATTGCCAAAACGTTTGCGGAAATTTTAGGCGAAACTATAAACGTCCGTGCAAGTTTTGGAAAGACGTGGTCACAAGCATAACTGGACTTACAGTGACAGGTATTTCCCGTAGCGATTCCATCATGCTTCGTCCACTGTTGGCAGTGGCGCACCAATGATATTTAAACGAATAAAAATGCGCTACAACACGGCATACCAGGCGAGCTGAGTCATGGACGCAACACCAGGGGCAAAAATGAGACGGGGCCAGGGTCAGACGTCTCGGAGCGGATGACCGCGCAGGACCTATTCTCCTGATCGCGACTCTGGCAGCCGCATTCTGGCCGTACTGATCTGTTTTGTACATCATGGCTGGGCATCTGACGTATTTCCACTCTATACGGTGGATTGGAGGTTTGCTTTGTTTTTAAATGTTTGAAAAGTGTCCCAAATTAACCTGTTCTGAAGGGTAGGTTTCTCTCAGTACAGTACCAATTTCCTGTGGCAAATCCCTGCGGACACCTAGCTTCCAAAAAGGCTCGTTTCGCAAACCTCAAGTGCAATAAAGCGTTGCTCACATCGCACTCCACAACCAGACTCTCCAAAGATCCAAACAGCCTTGCCAGTGGAGAGGGAGGTGACGACGTCGTCTGTGACACGTGCCACGACCTGTGTCTGCCAAGTCTTGGGCGGCACTAATCTGAGGGAGGCAGTAACAAAAGCGGCACTATTGCGCGTCCCCCCCTGCAACTGGTTACCGGGAAACTGTCATGCCCAAGAGAGTGGACGGACAGCACTGTACCGCGCTGCAAGAACAGAAATAGGTACACATTCGCCTCCCCCAAAAAATTCCAATTTTGATAGACTCGCATGTGATAGGTTGTAGGCGCGAAAATCATTTTGAATGAAGTGTGAGTCCCAAAAATCCTCATCAGCCACATGAGAGGACTTGGGCGCAGCTGCTGCCTTCCATCACCTGAGAGACGGCGTTGCGTCAACACATCGTCGCCATCACAATACGGTAAACTCGGGCTAGGACTTGCTTTTCGAAACCCCGGACGCTCCGAACCACGAGTTGGGAAATTGGATCGCAAGAAAAACAGCGCACCCTGATGCAATGCAGTTCGAATTGCAGTTCGAATTGTTGCTGAGGAGGTTGCCGAAGTCGATGTGGAGCTCGCCTCAGGAACATCATTTTGCAACCTTAGACAGCATGAATACAGTACACCTGCACTGAGTTTTCCGTAAACCACGGAATCCTTTCACCTACTACCATAGTGCGAAAGTAGCATTTCTACGATCTTGAGGTGTGTTGATCAAGTCAAAGTGCGGGAGGGGGTGCTCGGTAGGGAGTGCACTTGAGGTACAGCGGCAGCGTTGAGGTACTGTAGCGCGCGGCTTGCTGCTATATTTACTTGAAATAGATGTGCTGCAAAGTAGACTTGTTCCGAAATGTATGTTTTCATGTCTCCTTCGTCTGGTGCTGGCGTTTCTGCTCGTCGATCTCAAGTAGGCTACGAGTGAATACTGCTTTGTTCCGCACGGTTGCGAGAAAGAAAACAAACGTGGACCCTTGAGCAATGGAACCTTGCATATTGACTAAACACCAGCATGTCTCCTTGTTATCGGTAGAAATCAGCTCCCGAAGGACCCAATCGTCAGTATTTGTTATCTGGTCGACATACCGTACGTCACTTCGGCATTGCCGTCTTGAGGAATTTCCTTGTTGACTGCTCTTCTGGCTACGGGATTTACCTCATCACGCCTTGCTGCCACTCAGACAGGTACCCCCCTCGTTCTCATTGCTTAACGAGGACATTGTTCGTGTGTAGGCCCACCAAGCCACACAACCAGCTCTCTCCGCCACCCGCCTCTTCGAGGTTACCTCGTAGCCACAGGTTTTCCCTCGCCACGTCCTTTACACATTTGGTTTTGCGTCCTCCATAATTGAATGTACTTCTTCTTTCCATCACTCCAATGGTACAGAATATACAGAATATACAGAAAAGGTATTACGACACTAAAATCCTTTCAGATGAGACTAGGTTTGTCATTCTCACACCATATTCATATATGTCGATTACAAATCAGTGGTGACTAGGGCACAATGGCGAGCTGCTCTGTGGAAGTCGTTAGTTTGTAAAACAATAGCAAGCAACAAGATTTACGTATTCCCTTCAGCAGACAAGCAACACGTGGTTTTGCCCCATTTTTTTTTAGAGCACAAGACCAACATCGATTTATTCCAGTTCCATCTACTGGTTTAAATTGCACGTGTTTCTCGATGGACGTGAGCCTGAACCAATATAGTTGACAGCATTTCTAACTCTGTCGAACGTACGAATCAAACCCACGCAGTAAGAGCAGCATCGCTTGCATCTCGAAGAAGACTATAAATCAAAAGCTCGATAGCCATCACAGTAACTTTCTTTCCGGCGTTAATGCCATCCTAAAACTTCACTCACAGCCCCCCCCCCCCCCCCCCCCCCCCCCCCCCCTCCACGAAAAGCAACCTTCACCCAATATATGAGCCAACTCATGCAGTGAGTTTACGAAATGTCACGCGTTCACTCATCAGGCCAATCTTCGACACTAACACGACTTGTATCAGCCCAAGCTCCTTGGACAAATATCCAAATACACAGGGCACCGAGCCGGCGCCTTCTGGCTCAGATTGCTCAGTTTCAAGACGACGAGGCCGGGTGGAATCAGACTTTGTTTGACCTGACTGTCACAAAGGCCGTGACTGCCGCCGTTTATGACAAGAAGGGTACCCTGATAGGATCTGGGACCATCCATGAGATATCACCGCAGAGTTTCTGGATGGGGAATGTTGCCGTAGCTGAGGGCATGAGACGAAGGGGCATCGGCTCGAAACTGGTATCGCAACTTTTGCAACACGCTGAAGCAAAGAAGTAAGTATACTTGCATTTCTAATGCCCTGTATCTCGCCTCTATCTCTTTTCCTCTACACCTCTTTCAATCACATTCTCTAACATCCATTTTCGTTAATCCATTGCCCACCCCTGTTCGCAATGTCTCGTGTCTTTTTAGGAGCCGATCTTCCGTTATCCTCACCTCCACAGATCTCGGAGTGGGAATGTACAGCCGCCTCGGCTTTAAAGTCGTACCTAGCATCAAGATCGTCATGTACGCAAGACCGCCTGCAGTTGCCCCCACTCGTTCCAGCCTCAAGCCAAGAGTCCCAAGCAAGGCCGAACACGAGGAGGCAATCAAGTTCGATGAAAAGTCCAATGGTGCATCACGCGCATCGATGCTGCGGAGCATCTATAAGCAATACGGGATGTGTGCAGTTTTGAAGTCTGGCTCGACTATCGTGGCAGTTGCGTGGGGTCGGTACCTGGCAAGTCCTACAAAGGACCACCAGCCGGAGTTACAAATCGGACCCGTAGTTGCAAAGAAGTCTGAGTATGCGGCTAGCGTGACCGGGGAGCTTCTGAGAATGGACCAGGGCGGGCGTTCTGCAAAGAAGGGTATGTGTGGGAGTGCAATGGTTCTATCTGTGCAGCGAGGGAATGACAGAAAACCTGGGATGCGGGCGTTTGAGTCAGTTGGATTTATGAAGATGGGAGAGATGCCGTACATGCGGAAGACACTTGGGAGGTCTTCGAGTTCATCTGATTCGAAGCTAGATCTTGTACGGGCAAGATCTTCATACTATGCGATGGCATGGTGGGATATGGCTTGAACACAGAGAAAGAGGAGGGAGTTGGGCGTACAAAGTCATTTAGATTCACCAAGGAACGAGACAAGCCGGATATGCTGCTCGGAGCAGAATCGTGGGAGACGGAAGCAAATCATCTTGTCGACATTTTGGTTTTTGTGTGACCTTGTACCAACGCCTTCTCTTTACGGATCGCAAGCGGAAAACTTGTACAGACCAGATTTAGAGGTTGTAGCATTATTGACAAAAAACTGTATACTACTGTTTATCATTGTTTCAAGCCAGAATTCTCTTCGCACAGCACAAAACTAAGTTTCGAGATGTGATGGTGTTTCAGCGGGTGCCCTGACATAACCAATATGCTGAATGGCACAATTATGGAAGTTCAATATAAAGAATAGCATACATTACTGTGGTTCGCAAGGGAAGCTACTTGGCAACAAGAAGAAGCAGTTTGGGTAACTGAACTCAGGAACCAGCTGGAGTGGACATAGGAATTACAGAAAACGTTGATTTCGTGACGGCAAAACTTCAAGAAACTGAAAGAAGACACTCTCGTGCATGATGGCTCTTCATAAGCCGGGCAATGAGCACAGGAGCTCTGTACCCGTCAAAAAAGAGTCGCAAGGCACATGCGAGAGACCACACGTAGATCCCATCTCCACTTACAATAAGGTTGTCCGTCAAGTCACAAAAACGCGTGTTTTGGCGGCGTGTTTGCTCATATTTTCTAAACGAAAAATTGTCAGACAACGCGTTTGGCAAAACTCACATCACACCGAAAACTGGGGGCATGTGAGTTTTCCACGAGTTTCACATCCTCCTGATCACAGCAGTGCCGGATCGACCCGTCTTGAAGGAAAACGAAGTGGGTTGTCCGTTCTTTTCGTCAGCGCAAACGAGTCTCAGACTGCACGGGTTGTATCGATATGCGTCATGGACGCCCCTATCGCTTCATCTGGGCAGAGTCCATCAATGGATCAAAGCACGACAGGATCTGCCACCGATGCCGCCGAAGCAACCGCGAAAGATAGACAAGTGGAAGCTTCTAAAAAGCGGTCCATTCCAAGCGGCCCCCCTCAGCCTGTCAAGAAGACGAAACACATCGCCCTTTCGACTGAGAACCTTTCTGTCTTTGTGTCGAGCTACAATATTCGCCTCAGCGAATATTCGCGCGGGTGCACGTGGTCCGTCGGGCAGCACAACAATGACCTGACCTCCAGCAGGGTGCCTGCCCCCAAAAAAGGCAAGTGTGGTACAGTGCTATTTTCTGGATGCACCCATTGGGTGCATCCAGAAAATAACGCTGTATCACTCGACTACTTTTTTGACCAATCAGCGACCGATAAAGTGGTCGCAGGCTGACTACTTTTGAACATCTGATCAAGCCCTCTCGACCCCTCTCCACTCCACCACTCCCGCACCACTTCCCATTCCATCCTTGCGCACTGGAGTTCCACATTCCAAGACCCCTCTCTCGAGCTGTCGGTGATGCCCGCTTCGCCAATGCCCTTTCAGAACAGCCGCAAGCACACTCTGGCAGCTCTAGCAGTATCGCTAGCGGCTCTGACGACATGTCTTGTCGCCCGGAGGAGGACAACAATGCGCCGCAAGCGCCGTCATCGCAACAAGAACCCAAAGTACCTCCACCCAGCCATTATTGGCCCTCGCACACAGCGGTCCACTCCTTGGCGCGTGCTTCTCTCGTTCGGGAAAGACTCCGACTTCCTTGTATCCGTAAATATCACGAAGCCCTTACTGCTAAACAGTATACTTCTTGTTGCTTCCTTCGCCAGTACTGAGCTCCTCCTGGTCAGGTGTCGAGCGTTTTTTGGGGGTGCGTGGGGAGTTTGGCGTGGATGGTGGCTGAGGGAAAGGGGTAGCTTGAGAGGGAGGATCGGATCCGTCCAAAAGGGATGCCATGTTGAGATGACAGTGTCAGAATGCGGGCGCCAGGTTTGAGGAGGAAGGTGTGGCTCGCTTTGGGATTAGGGGATGGGGAGGTTGACGGCGAGTGGGGGTGCGAGTGGGTGTACAGTTCGCAACATGTTCTAACTGGGGTGGAACCGCCACGGAAGGGCAGTGATGGAGTGCAAGAGTGGTGGGGACAATCAATTTTTGAAACTATCATACAATGGTAAAGTGTTAGAGTGCTACAGTGCTATTTTCTGGATGCACTCAATGGGTGCATCCAGAAAATAGCACTGTACCACACTTGCCTTTTTTGGGGGCAGGCACCCTGCTGGAGGTCAGTCCGCAAAACCGGTGGCGGAATTTTTCAATCTCGGGTTTACTTTAATTAATTAAATTTACGTCCAGCGATTTTGTGGGCAAATGAAAAAACACAGCGCGTTATTTTACGGACAACCTTAATAAAACAATTAATAATAACACAAAAATAGTTTCAGGAAGCGCCATTGGGCGCATGTCTCACAGCAATCTGATTGGGCGAGTGCCTGTCAGTAGGCTAGAGCAAGTCTACCCTTCCCCGGCAGGGTAATTTGGAACGCATTCTCTTTTTTAAATGGAGAAAGTACTTGTTTAAGGGGTTTGTCGCCAAAACAGGCGCCATTCGAAGCGCCGTATTCTAGTCGATAAAATGAGTCTATCAATTCTTCATGTGCCTGGATCTCGAGAGAACCTACGCAAATCTATTGTCAATGGTCAACATTGCCGGAATTCCAGAAAATTGGGCAATTTGGAACGTGTTTTCGGGCGCGACAAGCAGGTTTTCAGGGAGTTAGAATAGTACACGTGTACAATTGGTGCAAAGCTTTTGCACATTTCAGATATTACGCCTGGAACAATTCTGCAAATAACTCGTGAGTAAATCACCCCCGCAATTGCGGAAATGTGTTTCCGAAACGTAGAAACAAATTCCCAAATTTTGATTTACGCCGACGGTCCCGTGATGAAACCATGAGTATTACCAAGGGGACACTGCTGGGAGGGCGGCTTGCTTGTTCCTGCAGCAACCTGCAGCAACCATGACAAGGGGAAGGCAGCGCGACTTTTCGAGGCGAGCAGTGCAAGCGCGGGCACTTCACCTTGGGACAGTGTTGTCATTCCTTGCCAGAAGGCGCCGCACGACCCCTTCATCAGCCTTTGCAAGCACAGCATCCCTCACAATCATCGCGCAGCAGTTTAACCAGAAAGAGGAGGAGCTTCGCAAGCAGCTGCTTGCGCGAAACCGCATCGCCACATCAGAATTCTCCTTCAATTTTAACGGCCTGAGCGATGCGGACAGCGTGCTATTCTTCTGCCTTTCGAAAGACGACGTCGTTCGGATGATGAGTGCGTTTGCATGGCCTAATTCGCGTACGCATACAGCTCGTTCGAGGTATGGGGTCTACCCTATGCTGTCCACCTGCATCATACTACGTCGGTTAGCATCTCCATCTCGTTGGAAAGAACTCGAAGTCTTCTTTGGCAAACATGCTCCTCAGCTCTCTGAAACCTTTTGGGAAGGAATAGAGCAGCTCCTGGAAGAACGTCAACAACTGCTCACCGGAAAATTGGATTCAGCGTTCGTACAAGGTAGAATACAAGAGTACGCGAGACGTATATACGATAAAAGTAGTGGTTTAACTAACTGCGTTGGTTTTATAGATGGAATCGTACTGGGAATTGCCAAACCTACTGGATACGACTCTCAAATGGTTGCCTACAACGGACACAAGCGTAAGCACGGGTTGAAGTACCAGGCTGTGAATAGCCCTGACGGATTGATCCTTCATGCGTTCGGACCTGTTGAAGGAAGGAGGCACGACTGGACTTTGTACGTGCGAAGTGGCATCGACGAAGAATTGGGAAGCTTGATGCAGATGGGGGGAAGGCAGTACTGCTTGTATGGTGATTCTGGATATAGCCGAAGGTGGTTCTTGGAAGTTCCGTATCAAGGCAGTGCGCTGTCAACACAGCAGCGGGCGTTCAATAAGGCCATGTCAAAAGTCGGCATAACTGTCGAGTGGATTTTCAAGGAGGTAAAGCTCTACTTCTCGACGTTGGACTGCAAGCGCAAGATGAAGATTCTTCAAGCTCCTGTAGGGTCCCTCTACCTGGCCGGGCTTCTCATCCTCAACATGCGCAACTGCATATACCCCAACCAGATCAGCCAGTACTTCGAGTGTGCTCCCCCTTCCCTTGAGGAGTACCTGGAGCACAAAGACGATTAGGCGCGGGAGAACGAGGAGTGAGGACCAAGTCCAGCGAATGCGAGGGACGAGCTTTCAGCGGACTCGGTACCCAGTTCTGTGTTTTGCATTAGTCAACAGGAACACAAAAGAGCCAAAAGTCACGACTTGTTTACTTCTTGCTAAGAGCCGCCCCGATCGTTTCTATCATGAGCTTAAACTTAGCAAGCTCCAACTCCTGCGTTTTCGTACGCTCTTCCGCGCGTTCCTCGCGCTCCTGCTGCCGCTCCACCCTATCGGCATCCGCACGTTCGCGCTCGAAGGTCAGACGCTCGCGCTCCAGGGCAATTCGCGCGAGGTCAGCATCGCGAAGGTTGACCCCAAACGAAGCAAGGCCGTTTCCAAGTATGTTGCTAACGGCTCGCGTCTTTGACTTCTTCGCAGGTCGACCAACCACCACTTCGCCATCACTATCACTGTGGACCTCCATCGTCTCCTCCGACTTTCGCTTCGTGGCAACTACCATCAGCGCGTTCCCGATACGTTCCTTCTCAGCGTCGCGCTGGCGTTGCGCGTCTTTGTCGGCCGTCTTCTCTGCTGCTATGTCGTCCCTCTTCTGCCGCATTTTCATGAGCAGCTCATCCATCTCCCCAACGTCACCCCCAACCCCCGACATCTTCTAGTTCACGTTGTCCGCCTTGTCGAACTGCTCCTGGATCCGCTTGTAGCGGTCGCGCACGCTCTTCCAGGTGACCGGGGCGACAACGATGGCGTTGGAGTTACAGCGTCCGGCAGCCTGCTCGAAGCGCGCTCGCGTTTCGCCGTACGTGGCGACGTGCGCGTTCGCCGCAGCGACCTCACGCACAACGACGAGGTCCTCACTAGGCGAGAAGCGCGACTGCCGGCCGGGCTTCGACTTGCTAGGCGTGGTGTCGGCGGCCGGCTTGGATGCATCGGCGGTGGGCTTGGGGCTGGACGGAGTGTCGATGATGACTGTAGCCATGGCGCGGTGAGGGAGGATCGGGGGAGGATCGGGGTGCTGGTGACTCATTTTGTGGGTGACTCATGCCCTGAGGGGTTGACGATGGCGGCGAGTCCTACCTATTTTGGCGCGCATGCCCTTGGAATTGCTCACGTCAATTGCAGTTGGGTATTCTGTAAGACCCCACTATTCAGCAATTAACGTCACGAGTGATTTGCAGAATTCTGCAACTATTTACAATTGTAATACGTATTGCAGAATTTTGGAAAAATCATTGCAGAAATACCCAGTCGTAATCTTTCTATTGTGTGCATAGAGACCTTTGAAGCTGTGTTCCAAATTACGCTTTTTCCAAATTACCCTGCCGGGGAAGGGTAGTGTCTAGACGACAAGAGATTTGACCACATATCCCTACTGTTCTACTGCTCACAAATGTGAGCAACAGAGAGAAAATAAAATATAGCGAAATAATGTATTGCTCACGTTTGTGAGCAATACACCCCTTTTCACGGCCATCTTTGACCCTCGTTCTTAACTGACCTGACTGGCTGAAGCTCAATCTCTATACTGCAGTCTCTTCCCTGACTCGACACCTGCTTCCCATGCCTTCAAAATCCAAACTCGACCATTGGAAGCCCATTTTAGACCATTCGAACGTTGAGGGTTCCATCGCAGTAAATAAAGTCCCTACAGCAGCGCTTCTACCAGCGCTTCGCGATATATAAACGTCTCAGTACCGTCTGTACCTGATACAGATCATCTGTGCCGTCTGTGCATACCCATGACTTCCCCAACGCCACCTGCCACCCGCCTACCTCCCCACCAAAGTGGAACCGAACATCCACGACCGCCTGCTACCCGCCTACCGCCCGAATTCGCACCCACAAACCTAAGAACGCCTGCTGATCTCCCCCCAACCCCCAAAGTGCACCCCCTCACCCGCCACCGCGGGCTAATATCTCCACAGCGACTGCCCCTGCCAACAATCCCACAGGGCAGACATCTGTAACAAACACAAGAGAAGATGGGGTGCGGCGAGGACGAGGGAGAGGTCATCCCTGCGGTCGAGGCGTAAATGGTCGTGGTCGGGGGCGCAGTCGCACAAGGACAACAGCCGGTCGTAGAAAGGGAAGGGTCGAACAGGGAAGCTCCTCTTCTGTGCAGCTGGAGGAGGGCGGACGGGCCAGACGACGTGTAGCCTTAGCAGACCTTTTAGAAGTGTAGTATAATTCCGTACCACAACCCCCTGG